ATAGTACTCGATCTCTATTTTGGGCTTTTGTGATCGTGGATATGTACGTCTCTTTTAAACATGAATAAATATGTAACTTATTTTAAATATAGAATAATGTTCCAAACATTTCGTAAACATGTGTAACGTAGATAAAATTAATTATATCCTATATATTTACATATATCACTAGTGAATTCGCCAAGAGCATTACGCTAATTGTACAATCCGCATATGAATATATGTACATACCTATGTACATGTGTTATTACGAAAGAAAGTTGTGCGTAAAAAAGGCATGAACTATTATCACAGGTATAGTTACATGAGTTTCGGTTAGAATTGTCAATTGGGTTTAAAAAGAAAACTCATAGAAACTTTAACAGAAATCTCTGGTAGCAGTGTTGGGTAATCAACCGAAGGCGCTGCCACACGTTTAATATTTCTTGATGTCAAGATTTTGATCTATATTAAAAACAAAAAAATATACACAAGAGCAATTGAGACATAGGCAATAAGTTTTAAACTCGAATAACGAGTAGTAAGTGTTAAGTTGTTTATATTAGAAATAAAGATAGGTCTATAGCCATTAAATTGAGACATTTATTTAACAATCCAGTGATAGAACTCAGAGTAAAGAAATAGATTCAGACAGCTTAGTAGCAAAAGAATAATGGGCAGGGCGAAGCAGTTGAAAATTGGATGCTTGCATCGAGTATGGAAAAGCGAAGATGAGCAAAGGTCGCGAGCACTTATGGTTGTTCCGAAAGATAGAATTCCTGAAGTTCTCAACGAGCTGTAGCGCATACTCCTCCAATACCTGCTTAATCTTTCCTCTTTGCGGAGCAGCTCTTTTATAATATGAGAACCAACAATTATTTAAGTCTTAAAATATGAAAACTTATTTTTCCAAATATACATTTGTAGAATAGAGTAAATTTCTACTGTTTTCATCCTCAATATATTTTTTGTCATCATCTTAAAATTTTTAAACGGTTCTAAAGCTCAAAAATGCGCTATATCAGCTCGAACATACCTACGCGACGCCATTTCGAGAATAATTATTTAATGGAAGCAAATGCTCACATAAGAACATTGCCAACCTCAATGGAAAAGTATTTGAGAGATGGTTAGCAATGTAGATTACCTGTGGAGATGCGGCGTAATAGTGGGGATTACGGTTGCCGTTGGCTTATTTTTCTGGACCAAAAAGCGGACCAAAAAGCGGACCAAATTGGATAATAATAATGGACCAAACCTAGATCAAATCGAAAGAGCGAAAGTTGGAGGAGAGAAGGTTGTTCGGTGTGTAGTGTGAGAAAAAAAATAGAAAAGTTTTTCCACAAACAAAAGAAATAAATATACTTTTTTCATCCCGTTATTAATTCAATTTTAATTTATTTTTTATGATACATATTTTATATTTTTTATTTCACTTGAAATCATTCATATTATTAATTCAGTACAACTTTCAGATACACAAGTATAGGTGCATCCTACACATATTATATTTAGTATCACTTTATTCGCATATCTACTTATATAACAAAACAAATATTAGATATTCTGCTGGCTAATGTGCTAAAATATATTATCACTTAGCATATTAAAAGTTAAATATAGTATCAATGGATCAAGTATTTTATATTAAGTGTTCAAAAATGAACATGTGCGTTAGCACCACAAGGGCCCCACTTAGACGGCGTGCAGCAATAAATTTAGTTTTATTATTTTACATATTAAGATAAGAAACATGTATTCTAACATCCACTAATCCTAAATATGTATGCTCAAATATATTTAACAGGCATACATACATACATAAGCAAACACATAAACAAATATACACTCATATGATAACTTGTAGACCTAAGATATAAATTTAGGCAATTGATTACAAGTGCACATGTGCAACGAGCAATAAGTGTTAAGTTGTTGCAATTAGAAATAAAGATAAGTGTGTAGCCATTAAATTGGGACTTTTATTTAACAATCCAGTGATCGAACTCAAGAGTGAGTTACAGGTAGACGATTTATCGAGAAATTCGTTACAATTGGTGTCAGAAGTGGGATTGTCAAATAAATTCCCAAAGAGAGAATTGTTTGAAAATGGCCAAGTTTAACGATCTGAAGATTCCACAATTGAAAAAGGAGCTGCAGAAACGCTTGGCTTGGCTTGGCTTGGCAACAAAGAGAGTAAAGTCCAAATTACAGTCGCTGTTAAGAAGAGCCATGGAAGCAAAGAACATTAATGTTGAGGAATATGTCTTTCAATCGGAATTAGAGGAAGAGACAACAAAGAAACAAGAGAAGGAAGTGACTCAATATTCAGTAGAGGTTACTTGTGCTGCGTTGGCATCGTTCTTTGAGGATTTTTCATCAGAGTTGTCAGCATCGAAAGAGCTGGACGTGCATATGTCAGCGCAGGTATCCTCACAGTTGGAAGTGGAGGAAGCGTGTGAACCAGGGTCTTCACAGTATGAAGAGCAAGAAGCTTGTATACCAGCACAAGTGTCTTCGCAGTCGGAAGAACTGAACGGGCGTATGCCAGCGCAGGTGTCCTCACAGTCAGAAGAGGAGGAAGCGTGTGTACCAGTACAAGGGTCCTCACAGTCGAAAGAGCTGGAACTGCGTATGTCATGCAGGTGTTCCCACAGTTGGAAGAGAAAGAAGCGTGTGAACCAGTAAAAGGTTCCTCACAGTTAGAAGAGCAAGAAGCTTGAATACCAGCACAAGTGTCCTTACAGTTGGAAGAGCAGGAAGCGTGTATAGCATCACAGGTGGAAGATCAGCATAAAATTGAACATGAAACGAATGACTATTTGCAAGAAGATCCAGAACTGGAAGGTGCATTACATGAAGTGGAGTTGAACCAATGTACAACGATTGGAGAACTAACTACAGGAAGGCCAGTCACAAAATCATATTGGGCAGAACGGAGCAGTTTAAAGTTAGTGTATGGCTGCTTACATCGAGTATGGAAAAGCGAAAATGGGCAAACCTTCCGAGTACTTGTGGTTGTTCCAAGGGTTGAAATTCCTGACGTTCTTAACGTGCAGTACAAATGTCCAAGAGGAGGGCACTTGAGAGACATGAAATCCTTGGAGAATTTGAAGCAAAGGTTTTATTGGAATGGTTGTCAATAAGCTATAGAAAGGATTGCGAAATATGCTGAGAACATTGTAGCTAAAGGATCAAGGTTCAGAAGTCATGGGGAGATGAAACAGCACAACTCGCGTGCACCAGTTGATAAAATAGGCGTGTGTGAAGATGGTCCAATCCCCACCAATAAATTAGGAAATAATCATGTTTTGGTAGTCAAGCACCATTTCAACGAATGGCCACAAGTATACACAATTCCTAACCAAGAGACTGAACCAGTTTCGGAGGCATTCATCAACAAGTGGGTAACGAGATTCGGTGTCCCAATGGAGTTACGTTCTGATCAAGAATGGAATCTCGAGTCAGCCCTAAGTCAAGGGTTGTACCAGAAACTGAGTATCCGGAAAATGGATGGAATTAACTCCAAAAAGAGAAGGACGGCTAACGATATCAGCACCAACCTAGAAGACGAGATGGGGGACATAAAAGCTTTGTGTTTGGTATCGCAAATATGTCTAATCGGGACGATCAGACTTAGGTGGAGGGCAGTGTGACGAACATGGATGATAAAACAAAATCGAATCAACGATATATGCCAGAAGCAACTAGTTAGCGAATTCGTAGTTGCCAGAATGTTCTAGAAGCAATGTTTTGTTACAGATTTACTATATAAGGGCTGCCGGATATGCAGCAAAGACAGTTCTAGTTAGAGTGTTGTCGAGATAAGAACAATTAAGACATAAGCAAGCAGTTGTAAGGTCGAATAACGAGCAATAAGTGTTAAGTTGTTGGAATTAGAAATAAAGATAAGTGTGTAGCCATTCAATTGGGACTTTTATTTAACAATCCAGTGATCGAACTCAAGAGTGAGTTACAGGTAGACGATTTATCGAGAAATCCGTTACAGTATGTAAAAATTTAATTAGATAGTAAGATTTGTAAATAGTATATAAGCGATGCATTTAACAAAATAAAATTAGAATGAATAAGTTCTCAGCTCAATGAAGTCTTTTTCTGTTCCCCACCAGCGGTAAGGCAATTAGAATCTTCATTGAGTTTAATAATTGGTCTTACAAACCAATTATTCATTAAGAGATCTAACCAGATATCTTGATAATGAAGATTTTTTTCATGAAAGAATTTTGATTTGCATTAATATATGCGCCCGTTCGCCTGCAATTGTGCTGACCTACGTGCCAGAATCGTTTCTAACTGCGAGCACAATTAGGATTGTGTTGAAATCCTTTGTGATGACATCTCCGCTATTTATAAATTCACCTGCGATATACGTGCCTAAATCCTGTCTCAAACGCTGGCCTGCTCGAAAACTTCCACTAAAGTGGTAAGACCGGAACCCTATATGGCGGTTGGTCTTCATATTACAAAAGAGCTGGAGAGGAGGAAAGACTAAGCAGGAAGAAGTATTGGCAAAGTATGCGCCCGGTCAAGTTGCTAATGGGTGGTTACAACCTCAGCAGGTTCAACTGTGCTGACAAACGCTCTCTAAACACTTCCAACGCAGCCAAAATAACCTCTGTTGAACATTGAGTCTCTTCCTTTTCTTGTATTTTCGATGTCACTTTCTGAATTCCAATTGAAAGACGTATTCCTCAACGTTAATGTTTTCTGCTTCCATGGCCTCTCGTTACCGTGACTGTTAGTCGGCCTTTATTCCATTTGTTGCCAAATCACGTTGCTGCAGCTGTTTCAGTTGTGAAATGAAAAGACGGTGGTAACCAATTCACTACCACAGTTGTAAAATTTCACTTCTTACACCACTACATATTCAAAACTAACTTTTTGTTTTTAAATGGAAAACTCTGTTGTAAGAGTAGCAACATTCATCATGCAAAATTTTTTAATGCGAAAGAATTAGACGCACATATAAAATTCCTATTTTCTATCAACAATGGCCGAAATTTTGTTGGAGTAAGCCCGTTCAAAATTTATATAATATTAATTTATTTGTTTTATAAATTCAAAAGACGTTTATAAAGATGGTAAGTTCTTGAATTTTTTTTCTAAAGAAATGAATAAATATTTATAATTGCAGAGGACGGACGAAAACTTTCAATGCACTGCCCGAGTTGGAAATCGAGGGAAATTTTTCCCAATGGTGATTTCAAGGTATGTTGCCTTATTTTGTGTTTTAAGGTTGGAAAGACCAATTACTAACATTGCCTTGCCTCCTCTAAAATGTATTGCCTTGATATTTGTAGTGCCTCATGCTTTGCACGAAGTATGTAGCGGAAGAATTCCGTCTGTCGGCCGAGGCGTTCGAATGGTTGATCGGTGATATTGAAATTAACCTGGCGAAATAGTCTGCGCTGTGGTCGCGCAGAATTTGGGTGAACGTGCTACACAGGTAAGCATGACTGCGAAATGCTTAAATGCACTACTTACTCATTGACTTTGTGTATTTTTCAATTGTTTTTATATGACACTCAACACTTCCCATTTTGATGGTGTGTCGTCAAATAACACATGAAAGTGCTGTATCACTTTAAGGTAACGGCCAACACTGCTATTTATATGCAGAGGACTGTCATCTCGGGAGATCAAGAATACGTAAATGTCTACTATGAAGTGAAGATCAAGAATTCGTAAATGTCTACTATGAGATGCCCGATTTCAATCCAACACGCATTTCGCCATGGTTGCTGCGTATCGAATTGAAGTATCCCAGTATTAGGCTTAGAGGCTGTGCGTAAATCGGTTGAGAAGGAAATTAATACTGTGCTGAAATTCAACAGCTTGTAGGTAAACTACCGTGCTTTGGCCTAATAAGAGGTAATGACAGCTTACTGAATACAAGTAATTAAATTATATAACTCTTCTAGATATATAATTGAGGCTATATATCGGCATTATAATAATATATAAGTATGAATAATTTAATCATAACTGTCCAATATTGTATATTTCTATGTTGAATATGTATATATATTTTATTTATTGGAATTTGTATTAAAATTTGCTATTTCGGGTTCATTTTAGCACAAAATTGAAAGTGGAAAATTCCTTCATATTAACCTATAATATTTTGTTTAGTTAGAAAAAAGCAAATGTTAAGGTAACTAAACAAAATGTTGCGGGAAGTAAACAATGTTGAAATCATGTCATCAATGCCAAGGCTACGAAGAGCCACGGAAGCGAAAAACATTAATGCTAAAGAATTTCTTTTTTAATTGGAATTATAGAAAGAGAAAATAAAGACACAAGAAAAGGAAGTGACTCAATGTTCAGTAGGAGTTATTTGTGCCATGTAGGGCACTTGAGAATCACGACGACCTTGGAGAAGTTAAAATAGCAAAGATTTCATTACGTTGGTAATGCGTTAAGATGTTTGGATTAGAAATAAAGTTAAGTGTATAGCCATTAAATTGGGACTTCTATTTAACAATCCAGGGATCGAACTCAAGAGTGAGTTACAATGTAGACGATTTATCGAGAAATACTTTACAATATGAACCTGTTTTCTGTAACGTATAGGTAACCATAGAAATAACCAAAACAAACTATTTTCTGTAACCCAGACGTTACACCATGAAGAAATTGATTTCAAGGTGCGAAACACTCACAATTTTCTACTACCACATTCTCACTTTTCAAACTTGAAAGTCGCCTTGATATCAATTTTCTTATTCAAGTCGAGTGGCAAGTTGACGATCAAGTTTGAATAGTTGACCACATAGCATTGTATAAGCCTACAAGTAACCAAAGAATCAGCTGTTTTCCTATCTGTGGGACACAGCTGAGATCACCTGATCGATATAAAAAATGTGGACTTCGACAGCGCTCTTTCGAATCAAAGAGTTTCGGATCATTTATTTATTTTCATTTTTGAAATAAGAGCTACTTCTTAAATTTTACTTATGTTTGATAATAATCAATATCAATACTATATAACATACTATCATAATATCTTAATAGAATATATATAAAATAGTAATATATGTAAATCACATACATATACATATACATATGTGTGTACTTATGTAAGTTCAATTCAAATTCAAATCAAGATATTATCACTTATCAGTAATAACATGTGCGCGCGTTGCTCTTTGTGTACATACATAAGTGCTTATGACATTACTACACAAATAATGCTAACACAAACATTCGTATATGTGACACATGTAAGTATGTCACCAGCAAACATTGTTCTACCAAAAACAACAATCGTCTCGAAGCTAACAACAACAACATTATCATTCACTTTCAACAAGAAAAGTTAATTCATTCATATAAGCAGATACCATCACATCCCCCCGAGTATGCGTTTGCCTACAAGCGTATTTTCGCGACGATGGCAAAAACAAAAATCATAAATTGAACTACTCTCTGATGTTCCTTGTGAAAGGGGTTTTTTACTACCCTGCAAACAGGCAAAACACAGGAGTGACAAAAGTGGCATCATAGCTGTTGTCGATTTAAAATATTTGTTAATTCTAAAATATTTTTCCATGCCTCGCAAAAATCTCCGTCGATATATGTGCATGCTATATATATACATACATATTTGCGATAGTTTGTTGTCTGCAAGGGATGCGGGGACAATCGGCTCGGATTTTCTACCAACAACACAATGTTGTGACGCTTTGTCGTCGTCAATTTTTGGACACATACACACAAACATTTTGACTCTAACATAAAAACAAAAAGATAAGATTCGGCCATTGGTTGTCCGCAGTGGCGGATCCACGGTGGAATAAATGATAGTTCAGTCAGAGAACTTAGAAGAACGAGAAGGTGCAAATTGAATTTTGTATGATGCTCGATTGAACGGCTAACAGAGCTGAAAAATTGAGATCAAGGAGTTCACCATTTTCTGTAGTATTTGCTGTTATTTAACAGAAATGAGAATTTATAACAACGTTCTCTGACAAAATACGTATCTACCAATATAAAGAGAAAAATTAAATACCTTAAACAAAAAATACAAATGCCACTTCACATATGCATGATTATTTTTTGCCATATAAACGATTTTTATGATGAAAAATTGATAAAATGTAATTTTTTTGCAAAAATGCTACATTGATAAAATGTGAAAGATTATTAAAAAATGATATTTTACTATTTTCATAATTTTCTAATTTCAATTGTTACAGAATTAATAATTTATGTATGTACATATGTACATCAATATGTTATATTATATAATATAATAATATAAATATTATCACTTTCAATAAATACATGTGCGCGCACTGCTCTATATGTAAGTATGTATTTATTCGTTTCACTTCTCACTCACCTTTTTCACTTTAAAATAAAAACACGGCGTATACAAAAGGGTAGCACGGGCGGAATATCTCGGACGTCTCGTCGGTTTGATCGCTAACGAAAAAAGGAGCCGTTTTGTCCTCTGTTAGCCCCTTTTGAAGGTTGAGTTGTGTAGAGTTGTGTGATGTGATGTGTATGTGTGGGTGTCTGTGGGGTGTGATGTCTGCGTGGTGTGATGGTGTGTGTTAGTGGGTGGAGTCTTCTTGTGGATCGTGTTGGTGTGGTGTGTTGGCGCTCAGTGGCGCGTATGGAGGGGGGAGGCGTAACTCATTTAGCCAGTATGTATGTACAAATATGCCTATGACATTGCAAAATAAGTAATGCATACGCAAGTCTACATGTATACATATATATGCGTAGAAATGTAAGTATGTGAGCCATTAAAAAAAATACAAACATTGTTATACAAAAACAGCAATTCTCTCAAATAGCATGAGCAGCGTCAAAAATCAGTATGGCAGCCAAATTGACATATCCTAAATTTGTAGTAAATCACACAACAACAACATTTTCATTCATGAACGCTGGCGCACATGCAATAAGCTAAGTCATTTCATTCAAAAAGCAAACGCCTTACACATCTACCCGAGCATGCGTTTGCCTACAATTGTCTTTTCGCGGAGATGGAAAAAGCTAGAAATCATAAATTGAACAACTTTTTTATGTTCCCTCTAGAAGGGAAAAGTGACAACCCTGCAAGCCCACAAAACACAGAAAAAAGTGACAAAAGTGACAACAAAGCTTGCTAAGACTCGCAAAAATCTGCGTCAATATGTATGCATGCTCATATAGAACCATACATATTTACAATGATTTGTGGGCAAAGCTGTTAGAGCGGCAAGGGAAGCGGTGACAATCGGCGGCCGTTCGTAATTTTTTTTCGGCATAGCTCGGATTTTCTACCAACAACACAATGTTGTGACGCTTTGTCGTCGCGTCAGTCCTCCGACACATAGACTTTTTGACATAAAAGCAAAAAAAGCTTCGATCATTGGTTGATCGTGTCAACGGAGACTTGACATGAAGTAATGAGTGTACATATCTACATACATATGTTGTTTGTAGACAAATTTACAAATATTTTTCTTTAAAATTTTTTTACATGTACACATGATATGAAAATGCCGACGGCAAAACGCAATTCTGTACTTATATGACTCCATAATGGTGTCAAGTACATGAATTAATTTAAGAAATATATCAAAATATGTTTAAATTATTACTAATAACTCTCAATTAAGTAAAAATGAATTAACATAAAATAATTTTAAAAAAATAATAAATAATAGTTCAATAAAAGGGTATATATTTCAAATGGCATATCAATATTCCTAGTTTGGCATACATATTATTATATATATAAATATTATATTCTCTTCAATATTCGCCGGTTGGTTATGTTAAGAGAGCGTATGTGTACAGATTAACCGCTGTTATAAAAGCGAGATATGTTATTTGTTTATCCTGCGTGTGAGGTGAACTCCTTGATAAAATTTTACAAATGTTCGCTGTCGAACCTGCACCTTCTCGTTCTTCTAAGTTCTTTGGTTCAGTAATAATAAAATATTCCCGAAAAATGTATATAGTTAATAGATCGGTTCACAGAGTCCGCTACTGTCATAGAATCAGAGCGCGGAAAATAATTCTAGTTCACATTCAGAAGAGGAAAAGAGGAAAAGGTAATTATTCCGTCCAGGAAGAAATACTTTATTTGCCACTAGTTAATCGTGGCAACGGACATTTCGCATGAAACAATGAGTGTACATATTTGCATCCATATGTTGCATGTAGACAAATTTACAAACCTTATGCGTTCTTTCATATTTGTTTACATGCACACATAAATATACATATATATTCGGCAGAAAGCGTCTGCGTACACGCTTAAATCTTATTTTCTTTTGTTGAAAAATATCTTTAATATACTAAATTTTAGAATAATATAGAATTATTACTAGTCTATTGCATAATCTCATATAATTTAAAGCTGTGAAAATCTGATACCATAGTTTTATCGATAAATTTACACAAAATTGTCATTTCGAAGCGCAGAAAAAGTCTGCGTACAAGTAGTAAAATGGGAATTCTTCGGGTCAAACCCAATGGTTAAAGTGTCGGAAAGTTATAATTTTACTTGTTTTCGTAAAATTAGCAATTTTAAACGATTTTTATTTTATTCAGTTCGTTATTAAATTTAGAACGTCGAATCTCACCTAAAAGAAAACAAAGGGATCCTCCGAAAGGAAAATAATGGTTAAACTTTTGGAAGAAGGAAAACATATGGCGAAATCGGTCGAATTGTTAGAAGAACACATTCTTCTATAAAAAAATAATAAAAAATTACAAACAAACCGACGTTTTTGTATCTCGGTCAGTCCAGGGCGGCCAAAAATACTAGCATAGCGTGAAACACGTATCCATGTGACAGAAAATTACTAAAAAAAATAAAACTAGCAAGGCACTCGATAACGAAATCTTGATCCATACTGTGAAGCACGATGGTGAAAAATTAATAATATGGGGAGCATAGCTGGTAATGGTGTGGGCCAAATGGAAGTTATGGAGTCCACCGTGGACAAATATGCATATCTTAATATCTTAAAAATAAATTTGCAACA